GTTTAAACCGCTTCTGCTGATTGAAGCAAGCGCGTGCATAGTGTGCTATTTGATGGCTTGCAGATCGTTATGTAATTGATATATGGGTCGCGAGTCAATATAGAGTATAGCGGTAAGAGCTGTGCAAATGGTAGAGAGGACAAACAGAAGCATCTTGCTGCTCCTCTATGGAGGGAGGAATCGGTGTTCGCTTGTGGGAAATCGATAGCACTGAAAGCGGTGTGTGTTCGGTCTGCATGGCTCTTCGCAAGTTTATTATGATTTGGAGTTCAATTTAAATAATCATAAGATTTAATAGGTAGATGGATTGACAACCTAAAAATTAAGAACATTTAGGATTGTTTATAAGATTTTTTTTTAAATAATTGACCACTTCTTTGTTTTATTTTTATTACATTTCGTTTTATTTCGATTGTTCCACTTAGGCTACTTGCTAAAGAATTAAATTAGCTCTTTGGTCGAATAATTGTGTAAAAACTCTAATTACTTATAGTGATTGAGTATTTTATTCTATGCTTACAATTAACAATTTGCACTTCTAATGCAATAATTTTTACATGCTGGATTTATCAAATTTATAATTTACAAGAAAAGTTAACTTAAAAAAAGAGTAGTAAAATGTATTATATAATTTATTTATATGTTGCATTTAAATATTTGCTAATAAAAAAATTCTAATTTACAAATAAATGTTTTATTTGTTCAGTACACCACATAATCATAGCAAGGTGTTTTATAATATGTTCTTACATTAAAATGGACAAACAGTAGGCTATTTATTTCACAGCTATTACATTTTTGTATTTTTTATTTATTTATTTATTTTAGTTAAACTGGGATTTTTTCTAAAATAAGGTTTGAAGTAAATGAATCTAAATTATGATTTTTCCTTTCTACAGTATCAAGTGTTCATTGTGTATTCAATATTTATGTTCATATTTCAAATATATAGACACGGATGAGTAGTTTTAGTTATAGTGGTTAGTGTGTGCATGGAAAAGTGTAGGGATATCTGGGCGGCCCTTGTCTCAACCTTTTACCCATCACATGCAGTCTCTCAACCCAACCCTTGCCTCAATTTTAATACCTCAAACCCATCTACCTTTTGTCCTTTTGCAAATAAAAAAAAAAAATCCTTCTGTTTGTCTCTTAAATGCAACAAAAAACCACACTTTCTTAAATAAAACTGTTTTCTAAAGAAGTTCATTACTTCATTTTTGACATTTGCTTTGTTATTGTTATAATAACTATAATTATTATTGTTATTTATTTAACAGTAAATCTCAATTAAAGTGTTTTAAGATAGAGATTTAGATTTTGGCTTTTGGTTAAAGTTTAAGCCAATAGATTTATTAGCTATAAGATAAGCAATGTCTGATGACCCTGCAGACACACATTAATCCAGCTGCATGTCATCCATCAACGATTTTTCTTTTTTTTTCTTATATAAAATATTAAGCAGTTCAAAAATGCTAATGTTAATGAATATTTCTTGAACAGGAAATTAAAAAGTAGCATTTCTTATGGGACATGTAACACTGAAGAATGGGATACAAAAAAAAGTATTATATATGTATATATATATATATATATATATATATATATATATATATATATATATATATATATATATATATATATATATATATGAAAAAAGAAGAAAATATATATATTTTTTTTTTATTTGCACTATTATTTTTTCAACTCAAATAGTTTTTCTTTCATCTTTTATTTAATTGAAAATAGATTTTATGTCGTTTTATCATATTTATTTTTTTTAATTAACCTTTCTTTTTAAAGAAGCCAAATTATTTAGACCTTAAAAATTCATACACTACAACATAATCTGTTGTATTTCTACTTCAATTAAGAATTTGAGGACCTTTGTAGTGTACTATATTTGAAAGAAAGCTTGATTTGAACCTGTCTGGATTTTCAGTAGACTCTAAAATTTGCAAGTCCAATGTTATTCCCTAAAGAAGAGCAAAACCATAAAGGCATAAAGGATTCTCTCTCTTTCTCTCTCACTCACTCACTCTCTCTCTCTCTAACTCTCTTTCCCTCCCTTTTATTCTTTTCCCCCTGTTTCTTTTCCCCCCATTTTATTTTTTCCTCTGCTTTTGTGTAAAGTGTATCTTTGCAAGTTTTCTACTCAGATCAGATGTTCTGCAGAATATGATCATATTTTATACATTATTTCAATTCAAATTATCAGCCAATTTTTTTTCTACAGTCAACATTTGTTTGTTTTTTGAATGTTGTAATTTGGTAATTCCTCATTACAACATACAATGCACAGTTTATGCATCCTGATCATAATTTGAGAATACATGTCACATTGTTTTTATTTATTATTTTTTTCTAATGATAATAATTGTAGACTTTGGAATTTTTCCTTATCATTTTTGATTTATTGATTTACATGCATATACCATAATATACAACTATTTTTGCTAAACAACTATTTGTACAAAATAAATTTAAAAAATCTGAATCATGTATGTCCAAATAACTAACAAATGTATGAATTTGATGATGACTTTTATATTCATTATCAATTTGTTTGCATTATTGCCGGCAGAGGAATAGGGTACCGCAGGACAACATTTTTCAATTTTTCTTTTACATCTTCCCTCCTTTTTTTGCTCTATTTTCCAGCTCCTTGCTCAAATGCCTAATGCGTGTATTCTATTTAGTTATAATTAATTGCGGACATTATTTAGCCAAGCACAATTTTCTTTTCAGAGCCAGCTTTTCATGTTAGAGATCTTTTCATGTAATTCGATTGAGAGCGCTAAGCCTATAGAGGGATGGAGGGAAGGAGAGAGGGGGTCTTCTATTCCAGCTGAATGCGTTCTCCTCTCTACACACTCTCCATGCAACGTTTGATGGCTGGAAAGCAAACCATTTCTACAGCAACAAAAGCTCACAATCACACAAAGTAGAAACTAATCCTTGGAAACTGCTAAAGCTCACATTTAGGTGCTAATATTTTCAGCAATGTGTATCTAGTGTATGGGGGATTTAGGTATGTGATTAAATGTAGTGCCGTATGTAATTAGAGCGTGATTTTAATATTTCATGTGATGCTGCATCCTGCTATACAAGGTGTAGCAGCCCTAAATGTTGTCTAATGCATTTAGAAAATAAAACAGCAATAGCAGATTATCAGAAAACGGTCAGTATTTCTGAAAATCACTGATCAGAAAAATCAATCGTTGACTGACATCTTGCTTGCTCGCATGGCTTATTCTGTGATCAGTCGATTGGTATGATAGCACTGAATGCAAATAAAGGCAGATTTTAAAAAAAAATCTGAAGCCCATTCTAAAGGCCTCAGTCTATTCAGTTTCACAAGGCATTTGGAAACAATACGCCGCCAATCCCCCAGCAGCTTAGCCCCGGCTGTCAGCCCTCCCCCCGAGGGGCTAACAAGCCTGACAACCCCCTCTACAGTGGGACGTTTGCGGGGCTCGGACCTTTTAGGTGCTCCCCCTTGGCTTAGCCCCTCTCCCATTTTATTAACTTGGAGGTTTTGGCCAATTCCCCCATCCCGACCAAACCCAAGACTTGGAGGCTAATTAGCAACAAGCTGGTACAGTGAGGACCGACCCTAATTGCTCTGTGGTGGCATGATTCAACCTGCCAAGGCAAGAGAGCACAGGCCTTCACTTCCCAAATGTCGGCTTGAGGTGCATTCGTAGCAATGTGTTTGGCTAAAAACAATTAAGAGGAAAAACTCAGCATCTTAGCATAGTTTGTGCCATATGAAAACAAGAGCAAATTACTTTTTTAGTTAAGTTGATGCATGAATAACTTATTTTGATGCATTAAAGTAATATAAAAATGTGTCATGACTTATTGATCATACATACTTTAAAACTGAACATTTAAAAAATGAATTTTATGAAATAAGTTTTTTACTCAAATATTTACTTTATAGAAACAAGTTATGTGAAAGTTATGTAATATGTAACGTTTTTATTGAGGTGAGCTTGAACTGAGTATAAGCAGATTTCTAGTTCATAGCATACTTTTCTTCAGTGAAATAATTGTTGAAATGAAGTGTTATTCTGTTTTGTTTTTATCAAATTCACATACAATACATGGCATATGTTGCAATTTACAGAGATTTCTGTTATGTTGAATTGTCATGACTGTCATTTTATTAGGTAAAGCCTCTTGTTTAGTTGAAAATGGGCTTAAAAACTAATTTAAACTGCATAAATTACAATTATAGTCATGTAAGCGCAAAATGTGATGGTTGCATTAACACATGCTTTAGCTAGCTAACTCTTAATCATATAATTTGGGTTCATCTGAAATTTATGCAATTCATTTAAATTATAATTAAGATTGTGATGAGTACGGCGGTTGTTACAGTGTTAATAAGGTCATCAAAATCATTTTGATGTTTTAAAATAAGCTCTACCAGTTAGTTTACTACATTTTTTGGAGGCACCAAGTTTTCACAATGTTTTGAGTAGTTTAAACTTATTCTATTATTTTATATTAATTATGTTTTTTTTTTTGTATTTAAAAATGCATTATTATTTTTAGCAGATTGCAGGCTTTATAGGTGTATTTAGGATCATTGCTCATTTTTAGCAAACATTTTTGTTTAAACAGCTCTGCTTCACACTACACACACAACATATACAGCGGTTATATATATATATGTGTGTGTGTGTGTGTGTGTGTGTGTGTGTGTGTGTGTGTGTGTGTGTGTGTGTGTGTGTGTGTGTGTGTGTGTGTGTGTGTGTGTGTGTGTGTGTACTTTTTTTGTATCCCATGTTTCAGTGTTACATGTCCCATAAGAAATGCTACTTTTCTAATTTCCTTTTCAAGAAATATTTATTAACATTCACATTTTTGAACTGCTTAATATTTATTTAGAATGTATATATAATGTTTGACTATACATTATCTTTTTTTCTTGGATTCAGTTCACAATGTTTATCAGAGTGTCTCTCTCTCTCTCTTGTCTGTTTTAATTACAGAGGGGCAAACTAAACCACATTCCCCTGGTCAAACAGAGTCAAGTGGAGCCAGGCAACTTTTTGATTCTGGTGGTGGTGTCCATGGTTTTCATTGTACTGGTGTTGGGGATGTCGGGGGCTCTGTACTGCCTGCGCCATCGCTCCCACCATAAGCTGAAGGAGAAGCTCGCCGGTTTAGGAAACGACACAGGCCACGATGCCACAGCAGCCTATCAGGTACGAGCAGGCCCATGATTTCCACCAATCACGCTTCATTTGTACATGTTAGCATGACAAAGCTTCCCTGTTTTTGAAATATACTGAACAAGTTGTCCCGTACCGAGGCTGTTTCACTTCCAGTTGTTTAAGAGTAACATATTTGTGATCATCAGCAGGTGTATTGAAGGTGTTTAATTGTTCTGAAATGATTGTAGCTCATTAACAAAAAGGCAACGGAATTCATTTAAAGCTTCTTTCCCTTAATTACGACCCATTGGAGCAGGCACAGATGTCCTTGCACGACAGCGGTGTTTAATATGAATCCTAATTGAGGCAGAGCCCTTTTTAGCAGGGAAATGAGTTTGTTGTCTGACCTTTCTTTCACGGCTCCTGGAGGGAGGGCTTGCGGTGAAGGCTTATTGATTTTGTGTTGGGCTCAGCTGTACTCAATGAGACTGGATCGCAGGGTGCAAGCGCTTGGCTTCCTCCCCCGCCTTCAATATTTAATAAACCTCTCACACTTTGTCGAGAAGTCCCTTCCATAAACGTCGGCCCTATCAGTGTGGCAAAATAATCACTGTTTCTCAATATTATTACGCTGTAGTCACACATTATATCCTGACACCTTTTGTTATGTTTTCATTTCGGCTTTTAATTACTTTGTATTGATTTTAATTTGTGTGTTATGTTGTCGTGTCATAGTGTATTGCGAGTGCTTTCGGCCCTTTAGATCTGCCAGGTTGGTACGTGGTTTTTTTGAAGCGAATAAGATTAAAGGCGCAGACACGGCTCTTACTGTGTAGTTGTAAGGGATTTCCCAACTGCTGTAGCTGGAATGAATGCAGTCTTGTGCACAGGGACTCTTACAGAGAAACATGCAATTAGAATCAGTTCTGCCGCAATGATTCTGTAGCAGATCAAACACACACACATACAGTAGATATACCACCACCACCGCCCACCTACTCACACACACACACACACACACACACACACACACACACATCTTTTCACACTACACTTTTATTCTTATTTCGTCATCAAACACACTCATGCATATTCACAGTTGTTTGTTCTCCCTCTTATTAACTTATTTAATATAATTTTTTTATAAGATTTTGGTTTTACTTCTTCTTATAAAGTGTAGCAACAATACATTTTGGTTAGCTCCTATTCCCAATGCTTAGTTCTTTATTTTATTGCATGTATTGATTGTATTTTAACCTGTATTTGCTCAAACATGGAACAGACACAAGCAGTTATTTTATGATGCAATTTTGCCTGTGGTTAAAGGGATAATTCACCCAAAAATGAAAATGCACTCTTTTGCTGTTCAACATTGAAGATGTTTTGAAGAAAGTTGAAAACCTGTAATGATTGACTTCCATAGTTGGAAAAACAAATACTATAGAAGTCAATGATAACAGGTTTCCTCAGAATATCTTATTTCATGCTTAAAAGAAAAAAGAAAGTCAAACAGGTTTAGAAGGGTGAGTAAAAGATGAAGAATCTTACATTTTAGATGGAAGGTGTCAGTATTATAAGGCCAATAGTACTTTCTTTAGTATTACTTAGGCTTTTGCTACACACTAAAAATTTTACTAACATTATTAATAAAAGAAAAAAACATGCAATTATAATCAGTTCTGCTGCAATCATTCTTTAGCAGATCAAACACACACACACACACACACACACACACACACACACACACACACACACACACACACATAGAGTAGATATACTACCACCACCACCCACCTGCTCACACACACACACACACACATATTTTCACACTATTACACTTTTATTCTAATTTCGTCATCAAACACACTCATGCATATTCACAGTTGTTTGTTTTCCCTCTTAATAGCTTATATAATAAGATTCTTAGAAGATTTTGGTTTTACTTCTTCTAATAAATTGTAGCAGAGATGCATTTTGGTTTGTTCTTATTCAACTAATGCTTATTTCTTTACATTTTTTTTTTACCTAGTTGCTCAAGCAGTTATTTTTTGATGCAATCTTGCCTGTCATTAAAGGAATAGTTCTACCAAAAATGAAAATGTAATCTTTCGCTGTTCAACACTGCAGAAGATGTTTTGAAGAAAGCTGAAAACCTGTAACGACCGACTTCCATAGTAGGAAAACAAATACTATGGAAGTCAAAGGTTATAGGTTTCTTCAAAATATTTTCTTTGGTGTTCAACAGTCAAGTCAAACTGGTTCGGAGCAAGTGAAGGGAGAGTAAATGTTGAAGAATCTTCATTTTTGGATGCATTATCCCTTTAATTCCACATTGTGGAATGTGTCACTATTATCAGGCCAATAGTACTAGTTTTAGTATTAGGCTTTTGTTACATTATTAATAAAATAAAAAAGTTTAGTATATATATATATATATATATATATATATATATATATATATATATATATATATATATATATATATATATATATATATTTCAACTATGTTGAAACTAAAACCTCTAACAACTGCGCAAATGTTCATTTTAAATGTGCATTAATTCATTCACTTAGTTGCAGTTTATATACTTATGCTGTCAAGTCAAGTTGCTTGCTGTCACTGTACGTGGATGAGGGAATGATTTTCTCAACTCTTCCTAAACAGGATAATTTATTGCTACCTTCCAGGAACATCTAAAAACAAATCTATGAAGACTTGGCTCATTGCTAATTCACCTCTGCAGAATCTTTACCTATTCTTGGCACTTGTCTCCCCCTCAATTCTTCACCTCTATTCCTGAGCATATGTTGAATTTTGTTTCTCAAATTAATTTTTTTAGTTACATTCTCCTCCTTTGCTCTTTGCACTTTCAATTTAAATGAATGCTAAAGTATTAAATGCACACCTAATTAATTTAGCCAGCGGTTCACTGATTATAAGAAAAGCCAATGCATCTATTTATTGTGCTGGCTGAAGTGAACATTTAGTTTTTGCAGTTTTACTTATTTGAAGTCAGACTGAGTCACGGTAGCCATCAGATGAGATAATAATGTAAGGGTGGACTCTAATCTGCGGCTGGTTTTAGAGCTCTGTGGCCTCTGTTTAGCCCCCCTTCACCTCGTCTCCTGGTTTCCCTCACTGGGGAGCTCCATTAGTGAGACGAACTAAACTTCCACCTCCAACCCCCACACTCTCTCGCTGACCCTCCTGTCAGACTCGCTCGCTCTGTTTTTATTATTTTTTTATCTGAGCGCTTTTTTAACTGTTCGACATTTGATCTCAGATGGGGTCATATTGTTGTGACTAGCGACTGCTTCAAAAAGTAATTGTCTGTGACTGTTTCACCTTTGAGTATATAAAATGGAAGTAAAGCAATGGGGAAAAGGCAGAGATAATCACAATCGAGCACAATTCTCTAAAGGTTTTTCACTCAATATAAAACTGAAGCTTTCTAATGTTTTTAAAACACTGTTGTTGGGATTTTTAACCAAAAACTTAATGCAATTTTTTTTAAATTCCACATAACTTGAAACTCTGAATGAATTTAAAATATCTTGTAAGGCGATTCAAATCATAACTAGCTGTTTGTAGTCTGAATTGTTTTATTAACAGTGCTGTTAGCCATTTAAATAACCAGATTACCCACCATCCTTTTGCAAAATCCCTCCCCCATCAGATCAGTTCTTATGACATCAAACCCAACCCGTAAAATGACTGATAGGCAGAGAGCTGCCCCTAGTCTTCTGAATAGCTAAAAAAAATGTCTTAAAACAAATTATTTCTATTAAAAGACATGTTTTTTTTTGCACTCTGGCTTCAGTGAAATCTGTCAGGTGTTTTCTGTGTGCTATTCAATAAATAATCGCTTACAGCTGATTAGAAAACTGATTCAACATTGAAGGAATCATTTGATATGTTCGTGGATACCCTTGGGAATGTGATTTAAAAATTCAGACTGTTTGTTACTCTTTCAGATTACTTTTTTGTTTGATTTGAATGAGGTGATGAATAGTCAGGCTTGATCTCTAAAGGAATAAAATTGTAACTCCATAATAACATGGATGATGGAAATGTAGCCATAAATGACAAAGGGAAGAGTGAGTATAGCAGTAAATACAAGAGATGCACAATATTTCATCTGACTTCTCTGTAGTGGCCAATAAACACTTATTTTGAATGCCAATTTTATGTGCCTGATAAGAAATTGATTGACCTGACATATTAATGACTATGAATTCTGAATTATTTGTGCTGATTGATCCAGTTTAAATGCATGCTGCTGCATAACATCACATGCAACAGACCGTAGTGTCTGCACTTCAGAAACGTTTTTGCTAGAGGAAAGGATTACTGTGTTTGTTTTTTTTACTGTGATAAAGAAGATATGTGAATTCCAATATGCAAATGGTTTTGATAATAGAAATATAAATGTTTCCTTGCACTGTGCATTTGGCTGGCTTTTTTGAAATGAAACTTAGAAACAAGTTTATTTATATTTATATTTATTGGCTTATAGAGTTGAAGTCAGAATTATTAGCCTCCCATTGATTTTTTTTTTTTTTATATTTCCCAAATGATGTTTAACTGAGCAATTAAATTTTCACAGTATGTCTGATAATGTTTTTTTTCTTCTGGAGAAAGTTTTATTTGCTTTAATTTGCCTCTAATAAAAGCAGTTTTTAGTTTTTTAAAAGCCATTTTAAGGACAAAAATATTAACCATTTAAGCTATATTTTTTTTTCAATAGTCTACAGAACAAGCCATCATTATACAATAGCTTGCCTAATTACCCTAACCTGCATAGTTAACCTAATTAACCTAGTTAAGACTTTAAATGTCACTTTAAGCTGTATAGAAGTGTCTTGAAAAATATCTAGTCAAATATTATTTACTGTCATCATGGCAAAGATAAAATAAATCAGTTATTATAAATGGATTATGAAAAATGTTATGTATAGAAATGTGTTTAAAAAAAAATCTGCTCTCTATTAAAAATAAATTAAGGGAAAAATAAGCAGGGGGGCTAATAATTCTGACTTCAACTGAATGTAGTTACATCCCTACTAAAAGCAATGCTGCAGTATAACTATACAAGAGAGAGCAAATTATATCAGTTTAACTGATTTTGTAAATTAAGTTGCTTTATTTGAGAAACATATCACATTTTAAAAAGAGTTTATGATAAATTCATCTTCATTATAGTTTCTTTTGTAACCTAGTGTTTAAACATGGTTGCATTTTCTGTATTTCGTGCACCAGTGGTGGGTCAGTGAGTTAATGCAGCTGATAGACCTCATCTTGTTGAGCAGACAGTGACGTAATATGTTGTCTGCTGTCTCTTGAACCCAATCAGATGCAATGTCGAGATAGACTTTATTTGATCCTGAATCCTGATTCGGTATTGGTTTATTTTGTGTGCATTTTCCCATAACAATAACCACTAATAATATAGAACAAAATATGTATTGTTTTGATGCTGTGTCTTTAGTGATTGATGGGTTTTACTCTTCAGAAAATGCTTCATGAGTTGCCCCAGATAATGTATTCAAAGATAAGACTAATGTTTGTCCACTTTCCCGATAGGATCTCTGTCGCCAGCGTATGGCGGTGCAGACATCAGAGCGAGGCGAGCGATCGGAGGTGTTTCACCCATCGCACACGTCACGCATTAACAGCGTGTCCTCACAGTTCAGTGATGGACCAATGCAGAGTCCCTCGGCCCGCAGCAGCACATCATCCTGGAGCGAAGAGCCTTCCCAAACCAACATGGACATCTCCACTGGACACATGATACTGGTAAAAAACACAACATATTAAACACCTCATGCTCTTCATAAAGACCTCATATGATTGCAGTCATAGTCAGGATTAATATAAATAACCACTGTAGATATCCTAACCCATGCTTTTGTTTTGTTTTCTCTGTACCTTAGTCTAACATCAGTCACTTGTTTCAAAATTTGGGGTTTGTTTTGTTCTGCACGGGCCTGCACAACCCCATGGGCTCTGGCATTTCTGACACAATGGATTGTTTTAATTTCGTCCCAACTTTTGTTTTATTCATCTCAGCACAGCTTCGACAGGAAAGACTGATAGGTGCCTTGTAGCGTTGTGTTCATTACCGAGCAGGGAATCTATCATACATCCAGCAGTGGAGCAAAAGACAGCCACTGAGCTGATTCATTTAGTGTATTGTTTTACTGTAATGGATGGGCCTTATTGAGATGTTTTTTTATTGTTTTTTTTTTTTTTTGTAACAGCTAATAAAACTATGTGTATTGTTATGCAGAGATGTGTTTGCTAAAGTGCACACAATTACAAAGTATTGTTTAAACTTCAGAAGTTACTAAGTGCAGTGATAAGAATGTAATTAATGTTTTAAAGCATCTTTATCTTTATACACTTAGCAAGGGTGGTAAACGATTTGGCAGTTTATTCTTATAGGCTTAGAGACAATAAAAAGTGTTTGAGACTATTCATTTTTAGACAACTCTAGAAGCTATGATTACTGTCAATACTGTGATGTATAAATGCACATTGCATTCTAAACAGTAATAATTGATCTATTTTATATCAGCAGATAAAATTATTGTTTGGTTTTTCTTTTTTTTTTTTTTGGTTGTTTCTTTGGATATGGTGAACACATGTTCTCCATCGTTGATAGTTTGCTGTCTGTATTATACATTTCTGTCTGAGATACATTTCTTTCTGACTGAAATGTTAAACAAAGAAAAATATGTGTTATCAGTATCAGGAAGCAGACATAATACCTTATTATTTATCATAGCCATTCAGTAGATTTGCATTTATACTATGTTTATATATCTTTATCTTTATTTGCTTACACACACACACACACATATATATATATATATATATATATATGAAGTTACTATTAGCCCCCTTTGGGTTTTTTTCTTTTTTAAATATTTCCCAAATTATGTCCAACAGGGCAAAGAAATTTTCACAGTATGTCTGATTATATTTTTTTCTTCTGGAGAAAGTCTTATTTGTTTTATTTCGGCTAGAATAAAAGCAAATATTCATTTTTAAACACTATTTTAAGGACAAAATTATTAGCCCCTTTAAGCAATTTTTTTTCAATAGTCTACAGAACAGTCATTTACAATAACTTGCCTAATTACCCTAACCTGCCTAGTTAACCGAATTAACCTAGTTAAGCCTTTAAATGTCACTTTAAGCTGTATAGAAGTGTCTTAAAAAATATCTAGTCAAATATTATTTTCTGTCATCATGGCAGAGATGAAGTAAATCAGTTATTAGAAATTAGTTATTAAAACTATTATGTTTAGAAATCTGTTGAAAAATTCAGGGGGGCGAATAATTCAGGGGAGCTAATAAATCAGGGGAGCTAATAATTCTGACTTCAACTGTTATAATTCCAGCATAGCATGTGATATTTACTATCTTTAAACTGTGTGATATCACATATATTGGCCTTTTATTGACTATAAGCCACCCTGGTCTCTAAGATATTGGCAAGAACAAATCCATATGGGTCGATGTGCAGCAGAAAAACCTCAAATTCTCACTCAGGCCTGATCTCTAAGCAGCGACTGCAATACCAGCTAGTGCAGTGTATAAGAGATTTACACGTGTACACTATCCGTCTCTCAATGGGTGCAATCAAAGACGGCTTATGAAATAATAACTATTCTGATAGCGTAATCTCTCAGTATGCCAGGTTGCTATAAGGCATCTTTTTTCATCCCTCCTCAAAGATAAGAGCAAAGCTAGAGAAAGCATTCTCCATAGCCCTGCCTCATATGAGCTGTCCAGCATTATAATGGCCTTCGTTCTGCTGTCATATTTTGACAGACAGTCATACAGCTTTGTTTTTTCTCCTTCTCTTTGATTTATATACAGCATATACATCTTGTTTAAATATGTACAGCATATTTTATTTCCACCTGTCAGAAGACTATACAATAAGGTCCATTCAGTATCTCTAAAAATGCTTTTAAATCACATACAAATTCAGCTCATTATTTAAATAAACGATTGTTTGTCTATTTAAATGTCAAATTTTTAACCTTAAATCAGACATTTGCTTTAAGAGAGTGAGATTTAGCCCAGATATCTGACCTTTTTATTATATATAGCTGCAGCAGGATCATGAAGCACTGATTCAGAACCATGGACAGCGCCACGGTGCTCTGTTGCAGCATGTGTTTATTATTCATATGTGCTACGTGGACATGGTGAAAGATAATGGGGGAAAGAGACAGGGTTTTTGTTTATTGTGTGTACTCGTGTGTGTGCTTGTGTCCATTTGAAAGCCTGTAATAACCTGAAGTATTTAGTGCTTATTTGACATTGCTTAAAGCAGAGATGGAGTGATTTTTCAGTGTGAAAGGAGAGAAAAGGGTCTGCTGTCTGTCAGGGAGAAGTACCTCGGTGATTAAATGGTTGGCTAGGTGCCAAATCCCTCTGTCTCTGATTAAATCACGCATCATCTTGCTAATAGAGGTGGTATTAGAGAAGGCAAATAGAGAGAGTTACTGTTACATATGGGCTCTGAAACCCACACACATACAGGAAGATGCTCCATCCATCAATCATCTGTAACATAATTGAAACTGGAGGAAAATATATAGAAGCTTTTGTCCAGAAGGTCAGATATATGTTGGAGAAGAGCAAATTGTTCTCGAAACAGCCATATGTAGCCACTTAGGGTTTGGCGTTTGTCCGTTCACAGCACTCTGGAGAAGTAAACTGATTGCTTGGTAATTTGTTTCTCTTCTGATATGTTACTTGAAGGATGAGAACAATTTGAGTGCACCTGCCAGTTATGGTTTATGCTGGTGAAATGGCAGTTGGTTGTTATCAAGTTGCTTTGGTTGTTATTAAGTTGCTTGACGTCAATAGACAGCATGACTTTTAGAGAAAGAGGGATATTTTGTTAGTTGTTTTAAAGTAATCCCATGTAATTAAAATACAGTTACAATCTTTGGGGTTGGTACCTTTTAATAAGTATTTCTTTTAAATAAGTTTTTTGGTTTTCATTTTAATGACTTTAAATGTTCAAAACAATTTTACTTTGAAATAAAAGCTATTCTGTTGATAATTCTGGTCCTCAAAGAAGTCTATTGCAGCTTCAACAGTTTTCAACATTACTGATGTCATAAGAATTTTTTTTTGAGTACCAGATCAGCATGACTTCTGAAAGATCAAATGACACTAACGTAATGATGCTGAAAATCCAACTATGCCAAAACAGCAGTAAGTTATAAAACACAGTAGCATAGAAAATAGTTGTTTTAAACTGTCTGAAATATTATTTCACAATATTTTTGTTCTGTATTTTTGTTAAAACATCACTGAGCATAAGAAACTTCTTTCAACAACATTACCTACCAGTACTTCAAACCAGTAGTGTAGTTAAGGTGGAATAATTAAGCTTAAAACTAAATATTTTTGGGGAGTTTGGTGACCTTAAACAAACAAAAAAAATTGCTGCTGGCACTTCGAGTTTCTTGGCCACTAGCCACATTTTTTCCCTTCTCTTTGAGTTAATCTTATTACAGTGGCATTTAACCAAAGTCTTTCTCCTTCACTAAATCATGAATTCCATATGAAGCATTATGTCTTCTATTAAGCCACTTGTCACACGGTTCATCATCTCTTAAAACAAGGCTTCACACATGCACTCTGCTCAGAGCACTGCAATATGCTGTTCAGATAAGAAAAAATACATCTGTGAGGGAGCACATATATCCATGGTCATGGTGTGCATAGAGATATTTGTGTTTTTCTATGAACAGTACATCTAAATATGTTTAAAAAGGGCCTTTTTGGCATGCAGGAATGATTCAGTGTGTCAAATATGTCAGAGCCCTTTGAGATCACGGATTGCTGTCTGTGTAACGGCCAAGAGGATTCTTGACATTAGGTTATGAGTGTGTAATTTGTTTTCACACAATAAACTCATAAACACAAATTCACATGCCCAAGGTAAACCCCTTCTTGTGGGCTAACAATAGGAGGCCAGAAATAAGCAGCCAAAAAACAAGACACCAACCGCCAAACAACACTTACGCTCTTACACTCTGGCCAGAGACACAGTCCTCTGAGCTCTCTCTCTCTCTCTCTCTCTCTCTCTCTCTCTCTCTCTGTATGTCTCTCTGTCTCTCTCCCTCCGCTCTCCTTTGTCTCAGTTGAATTCAATTTGGGCTTCTTGGGAAGGCAGCTTATGCGCAGACAATCTTATCAGCATTTGTGCAAGCAGTGAAAAGGAGTGATTGAAGCAGGCTGAAGAGGCACTGGCGTGCCCAGGCCTTTCAGGAGTCTTAATTGCATGTGTCAGGACAAGCCCCCTCCCTGCAACCCCCCCTTTCTCTCTCTCTCTCTCTCTACCCCCCCTCTCTCTTCTCCTTTGTGGTGCATGTTTAGGATTACTGTCTACGATTCCCGTGCCGAGCAGGTTTGAGCTCTTGTCTGTCTGAAGGTGGATAGGTGAGTGATTGTATTGTTGCAAAGAAAGAAAGCACAGAAAGCGATAGGTTGGCCTTGGAGGTAAAGCTGGATTATAGCAGACGAATGGAAACTTACTATGGAGCTTTTTTACTTGACGGATTTAGGAGACTTAATTCAAAAACGTTTACACGGAAATACAAATGGCACATGAAACACATAAGCACGAGAAATATGGTTCATGCTGTTGTTCGCGTTATATAAACAACAAATGTAACCCTGCATTGAACTGAAATCCTCAGATTTATATGTGCGTCGGGCTGGCTGGATTTATTTTTTATTGAGTTATCCATGTTGCAGGAAAGTAGTTTATTCACCCTCTCATCATTAGCAGGAGTAACTTTGGTGTTTTTTGTGTCTTTCTCCCATGTGTCTGGTGCAGTCGTATATGGAGGATCACCTGCAAAATAAGGATCGTTTGGATAAGGAGTGGGAGGCTCTGTGCAGTTACCAGGCTGAGCCAGCAGTGTGTGCGGTGGGTCAGGAGGAACAGAATGTCCAGCGCAATCGCCCACACGGCGTCCTTGTGTGTGAGTGTTTCGCAAAATTGTATCAGCCTCAAGTGAATACTTAAAATTGTTTTCTTGTGCAGCGTGCGACTGGATGACAGAACAATCTGTCACTGGCTAATGGGTTCTATTTTGATCAACTTAAAAAAGTTAAGAGCCTCGTTTAATCATACACCGATCAGAACACTGTATACTTTCATTCTTTTGGTTATAACAATACTTAAGGAACATACAAACCAAAAAGTTTTAATGAATTGAAATATCCCTCACATGTTACTGAAGTGCTGAAAAGTTCAGTGTACTCAATAGAACAAAGTTACATGTTGTCAGAATCACATTGTATTAAGCTGAACCTAAACTAAATAGTTTAAGCAAATTTCTAGTTCCCAGCTTGCTTTGTGCTAGACTGTGTAAGGAAAATAAGTGTTAAAATGAACTGTTATTTTGTGTTTTTGCATAAGATGGATAAAATGATTTATTGTTTAATGTTTAGATTTACAGAAGTTTGTCATAATAAAGTTTTGTTGGATTATTTAGTAAAACAATGACCTGTGATTGATTAGGCATGAATACATGGAATAAATATAGTCTCTTTGATTATTATGTCAGCACATAATACTGTCCTGTTGTTAACTAACAATTAACCATAAATGTTTAAAGGGATAGTTCACCCAAAACTGAACCCTCGACACAAACCTGTTTGAGTTTGTTCTTTTCTGATAAGAGAAAAAAAAAAAAAAAAAAAAAATATATATATATATATATATATATATATATATATATATATATATATATATATATATATATATATATATATGTGTGTGTGTGTGTGTGTGTGTGTGTGTGTGTGTGTGTGTGTGTGTGTGTGTGTGTGTGTATATATATATATATATATTTTTTTTTTTTTTTTTTTTTGAAAAGTGTTGGAAACCAGTAACCATTGACTTATTTAGCATTTGTTTTTCCTACTATGCAAGGAAGTTGTTACAGGTTTCTAATATTTTTTAAACTATCTTGATTTATGTTCAACAGAAATAAGAATCTAATAAAGGTTTGGAACCATTGACTCAGAGTAAGTCGTAAGTAAATATTATTTTTAAGGTGACCTATCCCTTTAAATAGGAATAGTCAACCCAAGTTACTCACCCTCCAGTTGTTCTAAACCTTTTGAATATATTTTCTTATATTGAAGACAAAAGAAGACATTTTCAATAATGTTGGAAATCATCAGCTATTAGCTATGTTTCTATCCAAAGATGCAAATTAAATGTTTGCACAAAACTGGATTATTGCATGAAAGACATAGAAATAAAGCAGCATTTCCATTTAATGATTCAAAGAGAACAAAATTGTCACTTCCTGATTAACTAGCGCCAAACATTAAAAGTAAAAAAAAGAATTTGCTGCAGTTGAAGCTGCGTCAATCTTTTTTTTATTTAATAAAATACTTGCACCTAAGATGACAATGCCGACATGTAATGAACACATGGTGGTGTTTGAAGGCATCAGAGCACAGACACTTTTGTCAGTTATGGTGGTAATTAATAGTATAAAAACACTAATACTGAAATGGTTAAGAAGTTTTATAATGACCAAAACAACAGTTCAGACGTTTTACAGTGTGCTCAGCCTGCTGTTTTATTCATTCACACACATTTTTATCATCACATGATCTCTTATAACAAAATCACATGACTTTTTTAACGCGCATACTGGACTTTGTTCAGTAAAAGTGTTTCCACCGTAGTTTATGTGCATTTTTTCTTACCGAATAAAACGTTCATCCTACTTTGTTATGTGCATATGTTTTTTTATGCGCATTTTCAAAATGTATGCACATCTTGGCGCTTCCATTAACCTTTTTTATGCGCATATCCAAAATGGGCATAAAAGTAGGTGGATGGAAACATCGCTATTTACTTCCATAGTATTAGTTCTCCTACTGGCTACTGGTTATCAACATTCTTCAGAATATCTTCCTTTGTGTTCAGCTAAAAAAAAACTCAAAAAGTTTTGGAACCACTTGAGAGTTATGTCATGGTGGTACATTTTCCTTTTTTGGTTGAACTTTCCCTGTTAATATGATCTTTACCCAGAGAAACTGTATGAGGTTGTTTACTTCAGTTAAATGATGATTTTGTGTATTACAGAAGAACAATTTAGTTAACGATTGAATTTTAGAGCATTAATCTTTGAGTTCCTTCAGTTGAATTTGTTTTAAGGCAATTCGTTTCTACGGATGTAATTGAGAGTGTTGGGAAGGTTTTACTTGCAGATGCTCTAATAGTTACATCTGTCTGTCTCTGAATGTTATAGATGATCACTCTAGATTCATCCTGAAGCTGGAGAATAACCAATCCAGATCTGATTACATCAACGCAAGTCCTATAGTAAGTATTTACAGTAATTCCTCACATATTTTACACGTTTAATGATGGAAGTAAAACATTTAGGTTATAGGTAGTTCATGAGTAGTGAGCATTTTTAATAACACAATTTGTGCCGAATACTTGGATAATTGATTTTCTTGCTCATAGATATTTTTACCACATCTCTCCTCTGTGAATCAGCAGTGACCGATTGTTAAATATGCTCTTTTATGCTTATTTAGAAGCACAAATACTGAGAAATTGGCACAGCACTCGGACAAAAATGCATGCAAAAATATATTAAATGAAAGAATTCACTGTCAGTGTATTCTTTTGTGTGTGTGCATAATATACAGATCACATGAGTGCATTGAAACCAATCGCTGTGTGAATCTCAGACACAGTAATTTTTGTTTTAGCCCCCTAATCAGTACATACACGTAATGTTAATCAGTGTAATACCTGTGCAGCAACATCACACTGAGAAAGTCAAACTGAGTCATTTTTACATGCTGTTATTTTTGGACTCCAACTCGTCAAAAGAAGAAACAAAAGGCACAAGCGAGTCAGCCCTCCCTCCCCGAGGGTTTCGAGCTGCAGTCGGGGTTGGGTGCACTGATCCGCTGGTGCGGAGACAAATGCATGGAGGCGCGGTAATTAAAGCGCAGCAGGGATTTGGCAATGTGCGTTTCAAAAACTGTGATAATTATGTCTGTCAATGTTTGTAGCTTCTTTCTCATTAGCTGCAAGAAAGAAAAAGGGCTCAAAGTAAATCATTCGAGATATTTTTTCACAACCTCCTCACACTAACACCCTCTTTTCCAGTGACTGTTTGGAGTTTGGCTCTCCAAATCTCTATTTTTTGAGCACACACACAAAGAAATGGTTCAAATGGTACTGATAAAGCTTCTTGGATAGTATCACACCATTTTCACATAAATTAAGCAACATTTTGTCACTTATAATACCATTAAGTAAAAATAGTCACTCGACTCTGTAGTTGTTATGCTTTGCTAAAATATTTAACATATGAAGGAAATGTTTCTTGCAAATGCTTTGAAAGACCATTTTTGTGCACTAATGTTCTTATTTCTCTAATACTTCTTTTCTTATAATGCATCAGAAGATGCTGAATTTACTGACAAACCGATACAAATCTGTGATAAACTAGAGATCTCTTAAAGTAATTAGGCTTTAAGAGCGTGATCATCTCGCTGAGTGTGAAATGACAAATCGACTATAATAACAGCCTTTATAGAACACGGGTAGTCAAAAAACTGTTTCATATAGACTGCCAGCATTAGCCAGCTTGTGTATATATAATTGTTCTACCCTTAAATTGCTCTTGCCAACAATTAAGGTTGTGCAAAGCAATTATATCCATTTTCTGCCATGCTAATGGGAGTGCGTGTCATTCACTGTAACCATGGGGTTTGAATCTGTCTCTCTCATGCAGTGGTGTTTGATCTTTTTGTGAAGCTATAGAGAAATTAGAGCAGAAGTACTGAACCATGCAATTACTTTAGCAAAAGTTTTGAAAGGCTTTGTGATCGGCTTTTGTGCTTTAAAGACATACGTACTCCCAAACGTTCTCACAAAGACAGACATACGTGCTATCAAGCACACACTCCCACAGACAGCTGTTGTGGAAAATATTTATCACATCTGAGCATTTTGGACATGAAAAAAGGACCATGTTTACCAGAAATACTGTACTTTTCTAATGATATTTGCTTGAAGCTGTGAGCACACATGCTGCAAGCATTAGGTGCTTGTGTTACAGTCTCGTCCACTAACCCATCCTTTGTTTAATAAGCTCAAGTCTGACACCCTAACCAGACTGCATACCTTACCCTTTTGCAGCAAACATGCTTTTGTTGCTGCTCAAAATGGGCACGTTCCAACCTCCTGACAGCTTTCCCTTCTTTTTGTAAGGAGACATTTCAGGTCAGGAGGATGTTCTCCCGTAATGCATTCAGACAATGTCTTTCCTATAATAAAAGTGTGGGCAGAATATGTTGTTGCATACAAAGATCTTTTTTTAAGACCTGATGAATGCAGGTTTCCTCTGATGTTCTTTGATGGACAGATAGGGGTACAGATCTGTGTACTAATGGTCAGAGTGAGAGAATGGATTCTTTACATAGGGCTAATAGCAGCTGGATTTTCAGTTGTGGTCATCACAGCTTGTAGACGTGGATGATTAAATAAGCAATCAACTGCATCCCACAATCATTCTCCTGGGATGTAGAAATAAGTAATTCCTGTATTTTAATTGCCATTTGTTTTATTTGATGGCTTTGTCTTTCATTATTTCATGTATATTTCATTTATATATATATATATATATATATATATATATATATATATATATATATATATATATATATATATATATATATATATATATATATATATATATTAGAATTAGAAACAAAATATAATATAATATAATATAATATAATATAATCAGTCTTAATTAATTAATTAGTAAATAATAATAATAATAATAATAATCAGAATTATTAGTCCACCTTAAAAATTTGTTTCTCTTAAATATTTCCCAAATGTTGTTAAACAGAGCAAGGAGATTTTAACAGTATGTCTGATAATATTTTTTCCTCTGGAGAAAGACTTTTTTTTATTTCAGCTAAAATAAAAGCATTTTTTTAAATGTTTTAAAAGCCATTTTATGTCAAAATTATTAGCCCCTATTAGGTCAATATTATTATTATTATTTATGCACCATAGAGTTATAATTTAGTAGTGTGATATTCAAAATATTATTTAAAACTGAACATGAACAAGCTTTTAGGATTATGAAATTATTTTTAAAAATGTTCAATGCTTCAAAAATAAAAATGATTCTTTACTATGTAATTAATATTTACAATGTTTATCATGCCAACACACATTGTTATTCTTTAGGTAAACAATTAATCCATCCAAATTAATGCACTAAAAAAATGTTTTGGTAATCAAAATCTGACCATTTGTGTCCACATTTGGACAAGATGTCCTCGCTCCAGTCTGTACTGTATGAGGTCCATTACAGACTAAGGTCCAGGTCCAAAACATAGTGGACATTGTACCGCCCACTAAGGTAATTCCCATACCACTGTGATGGTTGGGTTCAGGGTTGGGGTAGGTATAGGCAATCGTCCATTACATAGTGGACCTGGCCCAGTATGATATCAAGCTGCTTCATTTGGAGTGGTAGGCCTCAGCCTCAATACTCTTAACCATGCCCCTCTTACTTCTAGCTTCCTACAAGGGATAGCCCTGCCCTCTACCCAAATGTTCTGTTTTCAGTTGGAAGTACACTTTCCGGTTCACACAGACTTTAACTGTGGGTAACACATGAGGTTATACCAGGATATACAGTACCATTAGATGTAAATCTTGGATCAGGAACAAATAGTATTGCCCAGTTATCACTTTTAACTGTGAACTTGTTCAGGTTTGTGTCAGTGAACATGTACTTCAGTCTTACTGAGATAAAAATACTGATATGAAACCCTGACATGGTTTGACAGTTTGCAAACCTATTAGAAGAAATAAGTTAAAAGAAGAGGATTGCCCCTTTGCTGTGGTTTGAAATCACTTTTCCTTGTTATGGTTTTGCTGCTTATTAGCTGAAGTGCTGGAGAAGATCTAGCCTGTCATTATTTAATTGTGGCTAGTGCATTATGAATGTCATAGTCCATATCCACATCAAGTTTTTCCTCTCTCTCTCCATCATTAGCTTTTTTCCATCGGGACAGCTTTCACTCAGACAGACACACAATTACACACAGACACCCTCCTCCAGCCACTGAGCTTCTCATCAATAAATGCGTTTGATTAGAGAGATGCCGTGCTTTACTCCCAGAGCCAGCTTTAATCAGAGGTATTAAAGAATGCACATGCTCGGAGAGGACAGACAGGGAGAGGGAGGAAGATGGGGTGACTGGGAGATGATAGGACGATGTCGAAATGGAAGACAGAGTGGATGTGGAGCAGATAAAAATGAGAAGGAGAAAGACGAGGAGAGAAGGGAGGTGGCCGTGAGAGAAACGACTCTGCTCTCATTAGTGATGGGCCTCTGTGCTTTCTCTTTATTTGATTTGCTTTTCCTTTTTTTTTTTTTCCTCGCAAGCTTTTTAACTCCAAACCGAGATCGTGGACATTCTGTTTCTCTTGGCAGTGAGTTTGTTTACCTCTTCCCTAAAGATTGGAGGGGGCCGAAGAAATGTTCAGAAAGCAAATAAATCAGATAAACAAAAAACAAAACAGCACGGTTTACATAGAGGCTCAGTGTCAGAAACGTCCATTCTGCAAACACAGCGCTACATCACTTTTGTTCTTCTGTAGAATAGAGTGTTCTTTAAAATGCCAAACTGCTGTTTCATTGTCAATATTAATTTTAAATGTTCATTTCATGAATATTCATGGCATGTTTACTGTGTCTTTTCATTTTTTAAGATGGACCATGACCCCCGAAATCCAGCCTATATTAGTGCTCAAGGTCCTCTTCCCTCCACAGTGGCAGACTTCTGGCAGGTAAGATACAGTGTTGTCTGTGTCTGGTAGTTATGGAGTAAACACAACTAAAACGCTTTATGATTCATGATTTAGAACCACTACTCAAAGCGGACAGGGTTCATTCTTGGGAACTAGACTAAATTAGAATCTGTGCACTATAAGTTCGCAAATAAGGCAAAAATAGGCACATTTTAATGTTAAAGGGGTCATGAACTGAGAAATGTAAATTGCTTTGATCCTTTGACAGGATGTAATAAAAAACATCCTGAAAGTTAAAAAAATCAAGACTTTTCAGACTTTTGTTAGTCTAATAACAGCCAATCTGCTAGAATGACTCGATTACATAATGGGCACCTCCATTTGGCATTCACTGCCTGTTTACGCTGACCATGAATTTGTTTATTTGAGCTGGTAAATAATGGAAAAGGCAAAGGTGCAGTTCCAAATTGTGCATTGCCCAGTTTCTAATGCCAACTTTAGGAAAGACTTTTATTATAACTCAGATTCATTTACAAACAATACACAATCTGATGCTGGATTAGAAAAACTCTTTAGGTTTGACTAGAAAAAATAAAATAATCCTGTGGCAACTATATTGTTTTTTTTTCACTTTGTCTCATTTTAAAGATCATTTGATATATATATATATATATATATATATATACACATACTCAGTATTTATCACGTTTCAACCTGAATAACAGCAACATGTGTGGAGGCTGTCGAACATGCAGAAGTTTATATCTGTGGGCACACAACTGTCCTGTTGAACTATTTCCAGGTAAATAATAATATAACAAGCAAATCTTTTGGACAATCATAACAGCGAGTGTTTACTGGTTTACTGTACATCTGCCATATGCACTGTAAAACATTCTGGGTTCCACACAATCAGTTTGTGTTGGGACACCATGTATATTTTAGTAAGTTAACTTATTAGTTTTTACAAATTTAAGTGGATTGAACATAAAACAACTATGTTGTCCCCCAAATAACTCAAGAATTTTGTTATTTCATCTTATTTTAAACAAGCAGCAAATGTCCTTTTTGAGTGTAGTTCCTGATCCTTTGAATAATATTTGCACACTTTACTCCTCACCACAAAAAAAAATCTACTCTATCAACATATTTTTGCAAATCCTTAATGTTTGCACAGTGCTGAATATGTATGTGAGGATCTGAACTTTTTCTTTCGTACATTTGCTTTGAATTACAGTCACTTAGTATAATAGGTTTGATTATAGCAAACTGATTTTAGTGTTTTTTTTATGTGTTTGTTTGTTTGTTTGTTTGTGTAGCTTATCAGTATTCATGGCTCTGATGGTTTTAAGAAACAGCTAGATGCTTTTTTTCTGGCATGTGTAGGATGTTTTTGACTCAATTAATTTTTCCAATTAGTCTAATATTCTGCAGAGAGCAGAAGCTTTGAACATGTTTTCTTTTAGTTGTATGTGTGTATATGCATGTGTGTGTTAGTAAGGCTAGTTAAGTAGATGCAGGTAACACTTTACAAAAAGGTTCCATTTGTTAAAATGATTATTTAGTAATAATCACTAAAAAATACTTTCAAGTTATTCATTCTAATAGTTCTAAATGCTAACTAATGCGTGATTAAAAGAAAAGGTTGCATCTGTGAAATATTATTTAATGGGTCTTATCTAATGTGAGTAATGAACAATTATGCTTGTGGTAAATAAATAAAAGGAAAGATTAATAGAAACTGTAAACATATATTGGTCTTTTTGTTTATGTTAGTTAATACATTACTGTTAATTAATTGGCCTCATAGTTAAGTGTCACTGTGGAGGATGTTAAATACAAACCTGAATCTACATTTTAATAAATTGCCTGTGGTGATGTGTTGATGTCACTTGACCCTCTATAATCACAAAGCTGTGCTTACTAACAGATGTGGGTGTGCACTAATTGATGTTATTGGCTGAATTTGTCATTTTGTCAATTACTGGCAGAAAATTAATGATCTAAATTGATTTAATTTCACACAGATGAATTATAGACATCCAGACAGACACTCACATGCAAAAAAAAAAAAAAAAAAAAAACTTTAAAAGTTCCATTTTAATTAAATGGAGTACATTAATCCCTGTCAATTAACTCAGTGAAATCATTGTCTTCTCATTAATGGAAAGTGATTTATACCAAACAGATCCAAGCTTTAAAAGGTTTGCTGAGTCTAAAAGAAAAAGGGGCACACAGTAATACAAATATCAGATGATCTTTTTGTTCACAGTCCTGAACCTGATGTTCCAGCATGATCTATCGACAATTCATAACTTTTTGATTTAGTGGCTAATTTGTTTGAATTCATATGATCCCAGTCGTACATTTTAGAACGTTTTGCTCACCCCCGTATGACGGTTTAGTAGTGGGGTTGGGTGGCACACCTCCTTTTTAAAATCATACATTTTCATATGAGTGAAGAACCAAAGTAGCCACTTAACTGACAAAATGTAAAATAGGTACATTTGCTTGTGAGATCAGGCTGGATGTTCAGTCAAGAAACCCAGAAATAAACAGATTGAAATAAATATAGTTTCTGTGTGTAACATTGGCAGTTTAGGTCAGTATGTAAATATTTATATGGTCACACTTTATATTGATGGTTCGTTTGTTGAGTTACATGTAACTAATTCTCATAAGATTTTAAGTAGACTGTTAGGTTGGGGTTAGGGTTGAGGTTAGAGTTAGGGTTAGTGAAAGTTGCATGTACTTGCAAAGTTTCTTATAGTCAGTTTAATGTCTTTTGAAGGAGCAGTATCAACAGATAATAAGCAGACAGTCTACTAATACTCAAATAGACCATCAAAATAAAGTGTTACTATTTATTTCTACTGAAGATAATAAGTGATAATCCATAAATTAAAATGTTGCTATCTTTTACTAACACCCTGGTTCCAAACCTAAAGAGTTTATTTCTTATGATGAACATATAAGAAGATATTTTAAATAAATGTTGTAAACCATTAGCCATTGGCTTGCATAATAATTTATTGCTAACTATGGATGTCAATCACTGTCATTTTTTTCCAACATTCTTCAAAGTATCCGCTTATGTGTTCATCCCAAAAAATAAATCAAAAGAAACTCATGCAGATTTGAAGACACTTGGGGGTCAGCATATGATGAGTACTTTCACATTTTTAGGAAAACTCTCTTTAAAGACAAAATTGGAGATTTTCCACACATCAAAAATAAAAAAGTAAGATGTTTTTACATTTGAATAATATTGTGCTTCAGAAGCAAAGAACTTGTATAAATTTTAAGCTTCACTCACACATTTATATAATTTATTCCCAAACCTGACCAAACACAGAACACTCAGTCCTTTTCACTGTGGAGGAGGTTTCAGAAATGTGTTTGTTGGCTTTGTTTGACCTTTTCTGCATTTTTCACTGCTTAAACTCAACAATATTTGATCACCTGGTCTGGTAAACAGTACAAGCTCCTGCAGCGTCCTTCAGTTCCCAATCCTTTATTTAGAAAATCAAACATTTGTCAATCACAACAATTTCAGCTGCACAATATATGTATGTGTATGTTATTACTGTTTTATTGTATTATATTTCGCTGAGTAAAATTCTGCATTGTTTGACCAATAATGCTTAAAGCATCTAAACAGATTACTGTCTTTACTCCTGTAGGCTCAAAGCTCTGCCATAATTACAATAAAACATGTAGAGTTACAACTCTGTTAAATATTACATTCAATATACTGTAAGCTGCTTCATACTGCCATTATTCTCTCATCACATAACCATGACTTTATCATGACTTTTTTTCCTCAATTTCATCTCCAGTGTTTCATGAGATTAAAAATGATAACATATTCATAATGGTAACGTTATATTGCGTTCTGAACCACTTTTACCATGGTTTAATGTCTCTACATTTCTCTGCTAATGACTCTGTGGGGACGTGTGGCACATGAGTTTGATTATTTTATGAGCAGGATCATTGTATTTTATTGCTCCCATAAAAGTCAGTGTTTTCCCTCATTTTCCTAATGGCCGCGGTGGGCCTTTCCGTGATTGAAGGACGCAGTAAAAGTGTGATAAGGGGAAAAAAGAGCAAGGCTGAGGAGGTTCAGTATACAAGGGGAAGGGGAGATGCAAAGATAAAGGGCAAAAAACTAAACTAAACCTCAATTATAATCACGAGTGGGGTTAAGTTATAAGTTATTAAGACCAATTATGCTTAAAGGGATAGTTCACCCAAAAATTATTATTTCCTCACACAAGTGGTTCCACAAACTATGGAAGTCAACATTCTTCAGAATAACTGTTTTGCATTTAAGAAACTCTAGCAGGTTTAAACTGTTTAATGTCCCTTTAAGTGAGGCCTGCTGAAAAGCTCTAATGCTCACAAGCCACTCACACTGTAGAAAAGGCAGGTTTGTGTTAAAAATGTGTACATTGTAACATTGTTTCTGCATTTTGTGTTGTTGTGTAGATGGTCTGGGAGAGTGGCTGTGTGGTGATTGTCATGCTGACACCTCTCGCTGAAAACGGCCTCAAACAATGTCATCAATATTGGCCTGATGAAGGCTCAGACCTCTACCACATATATGAGGTAAAGCTTGAATATCAGTTTTATATATTAGCATGATGATTTGTTTATTTGTTTATTACTTTTACAATTTACTTTAAATATGGGGCCAGTGATTACCCCATGGGATGTCATGCTAAAATTTCTGTATGTACATTTTTCACATGGTTTAACTTGTAACTTTAGTAAAATGGAAATTTAAACGATACATAGAAAGAAAGATTAATAAAGCTATTAATGTAATTTTATATATATATAAATTATATATGTATATGCCTTATGTATCTAAACCTGCTGTTTTTCTGTGTTTATAAATATATATATATATATATATATATATATATATATATATATATATATATATATATATATATATATATATATATATATATATATATATATATATATAAACACTTATTCACTAAAGTTGTAATTACGTTACTACAGTAATACAGTGACTGAATTTTTTTTTTTATTTACTTTAATAGAGTGGCTGGCGTTATTTCCAATTTTACTAACATTTGGGTTAAAACAACATATATTTTAAAATGAACATTTTTGACAAATGAAACTTCTTTTGCCTGTCATTTGAATTTCTACAACTGGGGCAGTGATTATACTGTGCTGGCAAAGACTATTTAATACAGTGCTGACTATGACTAAACAGCAAACATCTGTGACTAAGAAACACTCTTTTCTGCTTCTTAAATTCATTAAACATAAACCATTTATAGACATACATTTTCCAGAATATAGAAAAAGCTCTGCTTATTCAATAAAAAAAACAGTGCTTTATTTTCTTAGCAGTTCGTTGAAAATGAATACATAGATAAACAATAGCATTGATTTATATATATAAAAACATTGTAATTTGGATTTATGAGGTTTCTGCCTAATAGCAGTAGTATGAATGTTCTGTTATTAAAATAAACTCATACTCTCCTTATATTCCTGAAGGTTAATCTGGTATCCGAGCATATCTGGTGTGATGATTTCCTGGTGCGCAGTTTCTACTTGAAGAATGTCCAGACTAATGAGACCCGCACAGTCACCCAGTTCCACTTCTTGTCCTGGATGGACCAGAATGTTCCAGAGTCTGCTAGAACCTTGCTGGACTTCCGCAGGTATGTGTCCACATGCTGGATTTCACTGGGCTTTAAAAGGCATGGTTCACCCAAAATCTAAAGTTCAGTCAGCATTTAGTGTACCCACCATTTATTCCAGTTTCTTTCTTGTGTTGACCACAAAGAATGAAGAATGCTGGTCACCAGACAGTCAAAGCCAGCCATTGGCTTCCATAGTATTTTTTCCTACTATAGATGTTGGTGGTTGCCATCAGCCATCTTGTTCAAAATATCTTCTTCTATCTTCAACACAAGAAAGAAACTCATGTAGGATCGAAACAAGTGAGGGTGAGTAAGTGGTGAATAAAACTTTAACTTTTGGTGAACTTCTCATTTAATGTTGCTTTTGTTGTTTTGGTTAGTATACATAGATTCCACATTAATTTATCGTCACTGACCTTTATTGTCTAATAAAGTAAATATAAAGTGTTTTTGATGGAGAACAAAGGCTTTTTCTCCCAGATCTCTCTCTATATACAGTATATATATGCATAGTAGCAAGCACATTGCAATCCCTCCACAATAATTCATATTAAATTAAACTCTGAAGTTGAAGGATAAATGTTCAGCAATATTATTGGAAGTGAAAGAATGGGTAAAACTTCCTAATTTTACACCTGCTATGAGCATTCTGAAGGAATCCAAAAGGCCTGTAGGGTAAAAACGTAAAGAAAATAGCAATACCATCGGCAAGTGTATACATACAGTACATTGCAATACGCCAATCCATTTTGGCCCTCCAGTTTGGTTTGTGCTTATGCAGAGTAAAGGAACTTTAGTGTTCTGCTTTGCTTTACATGTAGTTTACTAATCTCACTTCTTTACCAAAGATATTATTTAAATTTGTTATATTTCACTGTCTGCTTCGTGATATTATACTTATTTGTGTTTGTACAGTTTCTTCCAGATCAGTTGACTCTGGTTTGCTTTTATTCAGGAATCTTTATTCTTTTTTAATATAGGGAAGCAGTATGCTATATGTTATATTATAAACTGTTCCCCATTTAGCTAGTAAGAACATTGCACTCTTTTTGATTTTTAATATGCAGTGGATGTTTAATTTAAATTTAACATGTACAGTATGGAGACATTTTCAAAGCATCAGATTTGCTGATCCTGTTCTTTGTAATCATGGGAAGAATGCTGGATCATATGCACAAAGTGTTTAGATTAAGAATGCTGATTTTGGATCTTGTGCCCTGATAATTAAGAAACGCTTTGAATAACATGGGTCTGATCCTCTGTCAGCAGTCTTGATGACTGACACATGATCTTTGAAACTTAACATTCCCAAGTATTTTCTCAAAGTTTCAATGGCACTTTGAACATTGAGGCTTTGGCGAGATGGTTTGAACCCTGATGCTTCTCTTTGACTTGCTCTGGTTTCTGTTGCCATTCTGAATCTCTCCCCAAAGGCCTGTGACACAGTCCTGTCTCACACACGGCCATGACTCACACTGAATCTGTCAAACGCTCCTCACTCACTTCTCTTGTTTTTTTTTCCGTTGGCCAGCTAATTAGCGGTTGCCAGTGTCATTTTTGTGATGTTGCAGCTAGTTATATGAGCCCAGTTGCATAGTCACAAAAGTGATCATTGGAAACTGTATCTCCTCTTCCAGGCCCTTGATTTTTCCTTGCCTCCTCACCCGCATCCCTCACTCAGCAGATCTCCCTGTTTCTTGCACTCACTCATGTCTTTTTCTCTGCCCCTCTGCCTTACCCAAAGCACATGCTGCTGTCCTACTGCCCCAATGCATGATTCTGCACCCCATCTCCAAAACTTCTGCAAAGAAGAACTGTTTAAAGAACATTTTGGTCTAGGAAGCATCTCTCTTTCTTAATTTTATAATTTTATCCAAATTATTTTTTGACAAGCCAGAAAAAAAGTGGTGTTCAGCCTTATTTTAATAACATTTAGTGTCTTAAGAATATGAATCTTTCACATTTCTTTTGCTAAAAATAAAACACTTTAGGCATTCCTCTGATAGTAATTGACCACCCACTCTAAAAAATGCAGGGTTGTTGTAACCCAACATATAAACCCAAACCCAATTTTAACCTAATTTAACTCAAATTGGGTTAAAAAGTGTTCATTAATTTTTTTCAATTTCTCTTTATTATATTTAACATGTACATACACATACACATTTCCATGTACAATATATAACACCAACAAGCAAACAAATGAACTAACAAAACAAAAGGCTTTTCTGTATTTTACATCAGAATTTAAAATCACCTCTTTTACTAATCTTCTAGTAAAAATGTCCAACTCCACCACCTTTTAAAACAACATAAAAGGTCCCCAAACTCTCCAACAGCCTATATTAGGTGCACATATACTTTTCCAACTTGAAGAAATAAGCCGTTTTGTTTGCAGAATACATATATTCATAAATATATGCTCCGTCTTTTTTAACTTGATCTCCTTGGGATATAAATGAAATTTAAAAAATAAAGGAGACATTAGTATATTAAACTCAAGAATCCTTTCTATCATTTTTGTCATGCCTTTCTAGAAGTGTGGTAATTTAATCTTATTAAAAATATCACCTAATGTTGGATTATAGCAGACATGCCCAAAAGTAGAGCATGCGGGCCAAAGTTGGCCCATTGTAACCTTTCATTTGGCCGCCCATCCCATCTGACATAAACTGTTTGTTGTTGTTTGTGTATTGCTGAGCTACAAAAAAGCTAACTAAATTAAATGTTTTAATTAAATGTTGTAAATGAATCCGATTTTATTAATTAAAATGTAAAATACTATCACTCGACAGATAGAGGACTATGTAGAAGACATCAGAGAGTAAATCAAGGCAAAAACTAGTGTGGCTTCATTCTGTTATAAATGAGATTGTTTTTGTTTTTACTGTAATAAGTTCATTATAAATAATAATAATTATACTGTATTAGTTAGTATAAAGCAATGTTTTCTATTTATTTTTAAATATTATTAAATGAATTGGAGGCATTACCGTGGCACAGTGGGTAGCACGATTACCTTACAGCAAGAAGGTCGCTGATTTGAGCCTTGGCTGAATCAGTTAGCATTTTTGTGTGAAGTTTGCATGTTTTCCCCGTGCTCGTGTGGGTTGCCACCAGGTACTCCGGTTTCCCCCACAGTCCAAAGAAATGCATGAACTGAAAAAACTAAATTGGCTGTAGTGTCTGTGTGTGAATGAGTGTGTATGGGTGTTTCCCAGTGTTGGGTTGCGGCTGGAAGGGCATTCGCTGCGTAAAACATATGTTGGATAAGTTGGCAGTTCATTCCACTGTGGTGACCCCTGATTAATAAAGGGACTAACTCAAAAAGAAATTAAATGAATATGAATAAATGAATTAGGATATTACCCATGGTGACTATATTTCAAAGGCCACTATATTTCTATATCAAGATTGGTTTTGGGCACCCCTGGTTTGGGCACCCCTGGGTTATAGCAACCTTCTTTTTTAGAGTGAAGTTTTTAAAATGATTTGTAAGATATTTCTTTAATAGTTTCTTCCTTTTCAGTCAAACATGTAAGTTACACATGACTTTGTTTCCCTTGACAAGCGTTCATTTTTAGCCATCTTTTTAAAATAAAATATTGTGTGCTCTCTGGATTTTGGAAATCGTCTGATTAGTACTTAGATCTGACCTAATAAATAGTTTTTAAATATCTCTTGAGGTATGCACAAAACAGGGCTTTTCATTTGATTTTTTTGGATGAGAGAAACAATACGAGTTAATACAGTGCATCACCATGGCAACAGTACCCATGTGCCTTAAAATCCTGCAAGGCCTTTTTGGTTTTGCAAGCTTGATAATTGTGCAAGGTTAATGTGTTTTGGATCGTGACACCTCACCACACATCATTTCCTTAATGGCTTGTCAAAATGTGGAGGATTCAACAACCTTTCCATTAGTCTTAATTGTCTGGCATGGACCTTTTTTGTTTATAAATGATTCTGATAGACAAGTGTAAAAAAGTGCTCAGGTTTAAAAGTAATGTACTGATACTAAAGGGATAATTCACAGAAGTATTAAAAATTTGCTGATTTACTTACCTTGGGCCCATCTAAGGTTTAGGTGACTTTTCTGTGGTAGTACATTAACGAAGATTTTTAGCTGAAACCATTTTCCTCAGTGATTCATACAATGCAAGTTAATAGTTGTCAAAATGTCTACATGGTCAGAAAAATACATAAATATACCAAAATATGTATACATTTCATTTTACAAGATCCCTCGCCTCTCGGCAAGAAGGTTGCTGGTTCAAGTCCCACCTGGGTCAGTAGGCATTGCTGTGTTGAGTTTTTATGTTCTCCCCATGTTCGCATGTGTTTCCTCCGGGTGCATTCCAAAGATGTGAAGCTTATTTATAAACAAATTTTGAGAGGATCACGTGCTTAAGATTGTTCACAGCTGTTCCAACTTTAGCTAATGACTAATTGTCCTATCAGACGATCCTTAACTCACTATAAATAACCAGACTTTTCTCATCTAAATATCTTCGACTTATGGAGGATATTCTAACTCTACTTTCCCTCCTTTCAAGCGGGTGACACAGTGGCCAGTGATTAGCGCTGTTGCCTCACAGCAAGAATGCCCCCGGTTTGATTCCCTTCCAAACCAGGCGACATTTCTCTGCGGAGTTTTGCTTGTTTTCCCCGTGATCGCGTGGGTTTTCCCCTGGGTTCTCCAGTTTCCTCCCATAGTTTAAAAACAAGCCCCCTAAACAAATAATCCAAGTACACCTTCTCTGCATCCATATCTGACACTTAGCTACAATAAGCAGGACAGGGAGTCATCGAGATCTACCTGAGCTCAAACTCCCCTCTCGCCCTGCAACGGAAGGGAGCCCAGGGCTCGAGGATCTAATAAGCTCAGGGCTCTCTCCCGGGACAGCACACCAAACAAGCTTTATTATCAATCATCAGCTAAGTGTGAACTCTTGAAATGCAGTATTGGTGAATTGAATAGCTAAATGGGTATTTCCCAGTGATGGGTTGCAGCTGGAAGAGTATCTGCTGTGTAAAATATATGCTGGATAAGTTGGCAGTAAATTCTTAGTATTAACTAGGCTGAAAGAAAATGAATGAATGAAAGATCTCAGTGTGTCGCTTGGATTCTCAAAGTGCATATAACCATTGGCTTGCATTGTATAAATCACCATATAAACAACCATCGAAACAAATCTTCATTATTGTTGTCCTGCTGAAGATGATACTGTATGTCTTAGAAGGCCTGAAAGTGTCCATTTAAGCATTTCTGCATGTTTGAATGTGCACATATCAACAGTGATTTCAGACATGGCAAATGAATTTGTCCATAATCTACTTCCTTGCGCACAATATTAACACCCTCTTTTTTCTGTCATTGCAGAAAGGTTAACAAGTGCTACCGGGGCAGATCTTGTCCAATAATTGTTCATTGCAGGCAAGTACCACAGCAATACAAAACAAGTTATAAGGAACACACACAAATACAAATGTAACATATATACATTTTGTTAAAGTATGTGGTTCTTGTATTAGATGAATCCAGACACTGATTTATCTATGGATTATTTCTGGTGAAATCAGTGAATGCTGTCTGTATGATTAATGGTAATAATTGAATGGCCTTCACCCTCAGTGTGAACTGGATGAGAATGAGATACTGTGTAAATGAAAATGGTGGTCAAATGATCTTTAACACCAAGGGTTAATGACCAGCATGTTGTGTGTTGTGGGGAAGACAGGCATCACAGCTGTCATGCATATCTGAATAATTCAGAATGATATCAGGAGAGAGGGATGAGTTTCCCTAAATAGTTCTTTCTCATTTCCCAAACCCCCATCTAGTGTGGGGGGAGAGGGCGTGTGTGTGTGTGTGTGTGTGTGTGTGTGTGTGTGTGTGTGTGTGTGTGTGTGTGTGTGTGTGTGTGTGTGTGTGTGTGTGTGTGTGTGTGTGTGTTTGTGTGTGTCTGTCACTTTCTAAGGTTGCTCAGGTTTTGCTCAGGCGCACACACACACACATACTCATTCAGTAATTCACTCATAACATTCGGCTGCACGTCTAGAAAAGTAACCTTGATTTCAAATCAAAATGCAGTTTACCATCCAACTGCGTCTGAGTTTGGCTGCTTCTCACAATTTAATAGATTGTATAGAAGGTAAAACAAGTTTAAAATGCTTTTCAAGTCGCTTCAAATTCCCACTGTGTTCAGACTCTTTGTTTTTGCTCTTAAAAGAGCTGTGTCGTGTGATTTTTTTCCTTTCCCTTTTGTTATTTATTTTATTTTTTGCAAATGCAGTTTAGTTCTGCAAAGAACAGGAAAAACAAGACAGCAGTCGTCTTTGACAGAATTACTGTGAATGCTGAAGGATGATGCAACAGCAAACAATGTGGCTGAAACACAACAGAGAAATGAATGCTTTGTTTTTGTTTCAGCAGACACACACTGTAATACTCATTCAGACAGGTCTGCTCTTTTCTCAGAAGCGATAACGAGTTTCTGTCTTCATTTGCAGCGATGGTGCCGGAAGGAGTGGAACCTACATCCTGATTGACATGGTTCTGAATAAAATGGCTAAAGGTAAGAGATGAGGACATGCTGTCATGACAGCACACAATCATTCATATAATGAGGGTCCCAGTGTGCGTTGGGGGAGGATGGCGCTGTTTAATTAATGACTAAATATCTCCAAAAATTTATTCAAAAAAAGAACATGACAAAAAAATTTGATTTCTTTTTTTTTTTTTTTTTTTTTTAGTCGTGTCAACCTGCATTTTTTCTCATTATCAGCTACTAAGGTTGACTTTCAAATGCAAATATTAAACACTGGCTGCTACATAGAGTTTAACAAGTCATGTGAATCCATGCATGGAGACAGAAGGTGCCTTCATAACCTGTCCGAATCATTTGTGCAGCACCATTCTTCCTGACCCCATCTGGTGAGGTCATCCATGCATTTGCCTCCCCCTCGTCTTTCTCTATTCTAGCCACCAGTCCATCCCTACTCCTGACCCGATCATGGTCCGCAGCTTTTTTCATAATGGGGGATCAAAGGCCAGATGCAAGGAGTGCATTGCCGCATTTGTGCCTCTTTCCCATGCTGTCAGGGGCCCGGAGCCTCGGCCCTCAGTGGCCCCCTCCATCTCCCCTTTTGTCTGCTTTCTGAGAAGAAGGAGGGGGTCCCAGGTTGCCCACTTTCCAGTGTTCACTTGTGTGATCAAAGCCTCAGAAAGTCCTAAACAACTGAAATCTCCCTCTTCCATTCCCGCTTTTCTCTCTCCTGTTCTTCACGTCTTCCTCCTCTCTCACACTCTCTTTTTCTTGCTTCTTTTTTTTTTCCTTCCTCAAACACCCTGTCGTATTTTTTCTTTGGCTTTTTTTCATCTCCAGGAATGAATTGTAAATTAGTGAAGAATGCTGTTTTAATTCCAAAGCCCGTTCTTGTTAGATGCCCCCTCCTCTGCGCACTCTCTCTTTCCCCCCTAAACTTCGGAATCTCGCACTTCTTAAGACATGAAAGTATTGGAGCACTTTTGAGGCTGGAACCCCAGCTGCACTCGCTCCCTTTCAGAAAGCATCTATAAGGATTCCTGCTTTTCTCTTTCCTTCACCCTCAATCTCTCTCTCTCTCTCTCTCTCTCTCTCTCCATCAGTCTGCGTACGAAGGAGGGGGTAGTCTTTCTTTTCTTTTTGAAGAATGAATGAATAAATCAATGAGAAATAAGGCCTTGTTAGACCTCTGCTGCTTTCCTCTCATTTATGAGAAGAAACAACAATGGACCTGTAAAAAAAAAAGTAATTCAAGCTAAAGGTAAAAAGGGAGATTTCTCCTAATCAGCCTTTTCACTTTTACCACCATGTGAAAATTTTCATATTCACTTTACAGTTTTGGTTCAGTCAGTGGTGCTGTTGTTCAATAGTCTGGACCAGGACAACAGCTCTGCATGAGTGTTACAGTTGTGGAAGCTGTGTGCTGATTCAGTGTGTGAGCTTGTTGGCATTAAACACCATCACAGACTCTATTAGAAGATCAATCACACAAAAATGAAAATGTACTAACCATTTACTAACCTACAAGTGGTTTCAAACCATTATGAGTTTCTTTTTTATGTTGAAAGATTTTAATCATTTTGGAGTTTTGAAAAACTCCAACGGCAGTCAGTGGCTACTGGTTTCAGACATTCTTTAAAATATCTTAATTTTTGTTCAACAAAAGAAAGAAACACAAGCAGGTTTGGGACATGTAGATTTTGAGTCAATGATGGCAGAGTTTTCTTCATTGGGTGAACTATCCCTTCGATGCAACATATTGTGCATCTTAGAAAATGATCTGCTGCCCTTGGCTAAATCTGCCTAGTCAATTTTGTTATCTGACCAAAAATCTTAGCAACGCTGTTTTATTCATATCCAAAAATGTTATGTAAAACTGCTGATTCAGTCTAAAATGTTTGAGTTCACAAAAGATCAGATCAGATAAAAGCTTTCATTGTAGATGTGTACTGATTTTTTTTATATAATTTACAGACCTGTTCACTTCTACTATTGTATTTATTTTTTAAAAACAACTTATTTTTTCAAGAATAACCCATGAAATGTTGTTTTTGGTCTTTTCCATCACTTTAATATGAGATAAAATGAGGTAAAACATTGGTCCAACACTGTAAAGGGAATGTAATTTCACAGAAAAAGAGTAAGGGCTGGAGAGAGTCGAAGATGATCTATGATTATGTGAAGTGCTTTGAACTCATGTTATGTGGCTCTGTTTCAGGTGCTAAAGAGATTGATATTGCTGCTACGCTGGAGCACCTGAGAGATCAGAGATCAGGCATGGTGCAGACCAAGGTAAGATCTCATGTCAAAATTTCTGTTTAAAGAACACTGCAGGATTACGAATGATCAGGGTCTCTCCTAAAGATTTTGTTCTGTAGTCAGAAAAAAATGAAATATATATAAATAGGATTTTGAAGTATAAGAAAAATATTATTTTAATTAAATGTTAGAAATTATAAAATATTTGTTTTATAAGAAAACAAAAAATCTACATTTAAAATTCTGAAACCCTTAGTGACACGTGAATGTTAAAAGAACTGCAGCCAGCAATGCATATGCATGCAGGAGACTGAATGTGATTCAATTGCTGGAAATACTCATAATACTCTTCCTTTTCATCCTTGGATTAGAATTTTTGATTAGTTACAGAACTGATTAAAAAAATCTAAATGCCACACTGTTGAGAGTGATGTTTAGATATAAAATAGATGTTTAGATATAAAATATGTGCTGCACTCTGTCCTCTCATAAACATTCAAGAAAAATGACCGTGGTAAGATAACTGGCATTTTTCATGAAAGTATCCAATCATGGTGAAATGAATATGTTTGCAGAAGCTTTGCAGTTCAACAGCCATTATGTCGACAGATGAGGTAATTAAAAATGATGTTAGGATCGTTTTATTATGTATTTAGGACCATACTACAGATTTGGCCATGTGGAACAATAGTTGTTAATACACTGTAAAATGTAATTACACTTGATTTTAAAAAGTGAGTAACCCCATTGTAACTTGGAACCATTAAGTTGACTTATTTTTTTAAGAATCATTCGCTAATTTATTTACTTAAAGAGCCCCTATTATGCATTTTAAAAGGTGACATTTTGGTTTAGGGGTTTCCAACATCAGGTTGATATGCATGCTAAGGTCAAAAACCCTTTCAATGTCTTATAATAAGTATCTATTTTTACCTAATTATCACAACCACTCGCAAAAGCACGATAAAGCACGATATGTGAATATAAAGAGTAAACTAGATACAGTACAAGTAAATACATAATTTGCAAACTAGAGAAAACAAAGAAGCAACTATTTTAATCACACTTACTTACACTTGTAAAATGTAGAAAGGAACTGATCCATGAACTGTGTACTGTAAAGTTCCTCTAAAGCTCTGACAAAGTCCCATACATTGGTGCTTTCCAACCTTTTTTGCCTGAGACCCCCTTTTCCCTTGGAAAATATGTAAGTTTGCAGTAATGATGACAAAAAAATGTTGTTTTTAAACAAACGGTATGTTTATTACTATATCTAGATATGTTTATGCACAAAAAATAACCTAATGTAAAATATAAAGCAAAGCATCAGTAGCCCATTTGGAACTGAAAAAACTTAAGTCTTTGGACTTTAAATTGGCCCTATTTGAAATTTAATAACATAATAATCAGTATTCACACTGCTGTATAAGCAAAAAATAATAATATAGGCTATTACAATTTAATACTTGCATGTTATTTGTTGTGGCCATCAACCGTTTTCTCAGAGGATGACAAGCTGATAAAACATTGCTATCGCTCTGATACAAGTTTTATTTATGGAGAAAAGTACAAACCACTGCAGTTTTTGTGTTCTGTTTGTCTGAGAAAATTAGTCTTACCGAAATGTAAATATTCCATACAAGCTGAAGCTGATTGGTCAATTCTTTTCACGTGACTTGCGGTGCGCTTACGGCCCAGGGTTCATTGGTGTGAGTGCGTCACGCCGCTTGTGCGCTCATGCGACGCACCTCCATTGGAAAGAACAAACTTGTGCAAACTCTAGTTGCTAGCTGCTTGTGGGTTCAATTTGGTCATTCAAGTGACCGAGATGTAAGCAAGAGAATATGGTCATTTTTCAAAATAAAAGACTTTTCAAAATAAAAGATCGTAATTAATGATTTCTTGTGCGGCCCAGTACCAATTGATCCACGAACCGGTGGTTGAGGACCACTGAGGTAGGGGATAAAATAAACTCAGGCAACATGATCATTCTCCTTATTGCCCCCTGCTAAGAATTTTTTTAAATATGACACGACCCCCCACAAATCTCGCTGAGGCCCCCTTTTGGGCCTGGACCCCCCTGTTGGGAACCGCTGCCATACATTAATAGTCTTTTCTGATCCTACCTTTAACAAACAGTGATATATCCCCCGTTGTAAGCATGTAGATTGCTGTAGCACTTGTCAGAAAAATGACGAGTACACAGCACAAGGTTGGGGCTATAATGCTTAGGTATTTTTCGCAAAAATAAACTTCAACCACTGACTCTCACAGCCTCATCTTTGGGTAGGGAAAATAGCACAAATTTTCCCTCACACTTCAGAGCACAGCGTCTTCGTGGCATAATTCAACCTGGATCTGCTACAGTGTTTGTCTTCTTTTTTCTTTCTCCTGTGTTTGTTTTTCTGGGTCTGCATGTGCAACTAATGGGCGGGGCTTGAGTTCCATATCGACATCACTCCAACACGGCTTAAGATTCGTTAACCTAACGATTTATTTTTCTAAAACCCATTATAGGGTTTTTTTTTTTGTTTTATTTTACTTTATTTTTAAGTAAAAATAATTTAAGTCAAATAATTTTTAAACAATAGGTTTACTCACTTTTTTGAGTAAAGCTTTTTACAGTGGGCCTTTATGTGCATTAAACATTGAAATTACATACAGAACCGTTCTTTTGGCATAATCTTAAACATTAAGCATTCATTTCTTGTGTCAGAAAAGAGGATCTTGTGCTTAAAAGTTACATTCTTGTCACATTCTTGTCAACCTGCCTAAAATGTCCCAAATGCTTTATATAAAAAATGTCAACAGCGTTTCACAGACAACATAGGATGTTTCTTTTGTAATCTGTTACCACATTGGGAAAAAAGAAAACTATTAATACATGAACATTTGTACACAAAGCATCGCTATTACTTGTTTAATGTAACACCATAGTAACCTCATCAAGAAGGAACAGTTCAGTCAGTTGTCCCATTAGAGCTTTACACCTGCACAAATCCTCCTGATGCTGTATGTCCTGTACAATACGACTCTAACCACACTGCTATAATTAACATCGATTTGTAATCTAAAACCACATAGTCAATACAGCGCCAAAAGCCAGGCTCAGAAAATTAACTTGTAATTGATCACTTCTACCATGACAAATACGTCCTGTTGATGCTGCAAGCTACATTTTGAACACCAGCCATAAGGGTTTACAAAGTCTCCAGCTTTACAGTATCGATATGGTACATTTCTTTGTGTAAACTATGCTAAAGAAACATATATTAAGCTTATTCCTGTTATGAGATAACAAGATGAGTAAATGACAGTCTCCTCCTCAGAGTCATGCTGAATTACATTAGCTGCTGTTTATGGAAGATAAGGACCTGACTACTACACCTGTTTAGCAGCTGTTAGTAAATATTAAAGCTCTGTGGTTGTGTTGAAAAGGTAGCTTTCGGTTTATGAGTATATTTGGAGTTCTGACATAATCTGTTCATTTTTAATGTATTTGGGTTTGTGAATGATATTTTGGAGCCGTCAACCTACTTTACAGAATAATCAGCTGTCTATTTTTGCTCATATATCATTGTGTTTGACAAATTCACAGCATTTAGATGAATTCCAGACCCTTTTTTAAGCAGACAGTAAATTTCGATGGGTTTCTGGAGTAACTTCAACTTAACAAAATACAAAGAGCTATCAAATAGTTAAAGATGTATCAATCAAAGGATATGATGGGGAAAAAATGTTTATTGAGCTAGTCTGTAATTTGTGATAGTATGTTTCTGACTCAGTGATATCTATATATAAACTGAACACTCTAAACTAATGATTGCATTTGTGCAAAGTTTAGATTAGCTGTTTTAACTTAACCATGAAATGTTTCACTGAAAGAGAATTAATGCATTCATTTCATTCACTATTTGTCCTTAAAGTATCATTCACGCAGAAATTATAAAAAAAAACCTTATGGGATTCTCTATTTTTTCTGTTGAAGAATGTCTGAAGAATCAATTTTCAACATTCTTCTACAGTAAATATCTTCTCCCAAATATCTGTTTTGTTTAACAGAAGAAAAAATTCCAGCTGTGGTTAGAGTACATTTTAATTTTTGAGTGAACTATCCCTTTAAGCCCTGTTGTTCTCAAGTTGATTTGTTTGTTAAATCTGCTAATTTCTGCTCTGTATAGTACAGTAATTGCCTTCCTCATTGTACTGGCCTGCTCAGTCAATACTTGAGCTCTACGCTGCTCAAAGGCAACATATGTCCAAAGGAAGCCTCTCGCCCTCCTTTTTCACAACATTCTCAAAGCAGGAACTGGTGTGTGAAATTGGTCTGCCTGCTAAAATCCACTCTGCCACTTCATTCCTGGCCCAGAAAAGGAATGTTTTGTACTTTAGCGGCTACATGAGCTCTCCGGCTTTTGTTTACGCTGGAAGAGAAGCTCATAAACAGCTTGACTGATCTGATAAATATCCACAGCCATACTTCATCAAGTCTGGAGTACATTAAGGCATTAATGTGACACCATCTAGTGGCAAAATGCGCACATTTACACATCCACTTGACAGTTGCCTTTTTCTTTCCAAGTCATCTAATATATGACTCTAAATTAGATTTTTTAAAATTAGTAAATCTATTTATTGCACGCTTTTAAAAAAATCAACACAAATTTGGGTGAAATAAGAACAAACTCAACCATTTAGTTACATTTGGGTTGAACGGTGATAAGTGTGAATTCTTAAAGATTTATACATCACATTAAAGCTGAATAAATATCCTTACCATTGATGTATGGTTGGTTAATGTAATTAGTTGAAAATCTGGAATCCGGAAGTAAAAAATATATAAAGCTAAATATTGAAAAAAATGAATTTAAAGATAAATTAGAGTATTAAATTCTTGGCAGTGCACATTACAAACAAAAAAATGATTTTGTTTTTACATATTTGTGGTATAAAATGTACTAAATATCTTCTTGAAAGATGATCAACAAACAATTTGACTGATTGATATTCACCTTCAATTTATATTAGTTTTGCCAAAAAAATATTTATGTAACATAAATCTGAGTTTGCAGTCCATGTTTACAGATCCTAGTGCTAGGTTTTGCCCATATTTTAACCCAAATCTGTGTTTAAAGACTAGGGTTCATTTTGCAAGCTTTGTAGCAGAATCACTATGAACTGAAGTAATAAAACTGTATACTGTATGTATTCACACTTTTTGGCTTTTTACTGGCCTCACAAACCTTTACCTTGACTTTAAACTACCTGCTTTTTTAAAGACTAAATTATGGTGGTTGAAAAGACTGAAAAGTGCATATAAAGTTAATTCAGGAGGGATTTGTATCCGTTTCTTGTTTTGTGAAGCTCTGCATCTGACTTAACGCCCACTTCAGCCTGGTTTGTTGCATGGCCTGCAGTGGGAGGCTTGAGTTTCAAACGCTGGTTTTGAGGCTTGCTCTTCAGACAATGATCGATCTTCACATGCCGGCCCTCAGGGATGAGAAACTGTTTGAGTCATGGTTTGAACAGAGCACGTTGAGTCACATTTTCTCTGCAGCTTTAAATACAAATGCAGCGTGCACAAACATTTTAAATGTACTTTTCAACAAGTTATTACATCTGACTGTTGTTGGACTGAAGTCCACTTTTCTCTAGTCTACAAAATGTACCACTGGTGTCTGTTGTGCTTGGTGTGGAATGGTTTTTCAGCTGCGTACCTGAGCTTCTTCTACTTTTCTGTCTTCAGGATCAATTTGAGTTCGCACTGACGGCTGTAGCAGAAGAGGTGAACGCCATCCTGAAAGCTCTGCCTCAGTGAAGGGAACTTTCACAAACACTTCCAACCAGTCTTCTTCCTATCTTTTCTGTGTAACTTTGGATAAATATGAAAATTGACACTATTTCAGGCTCTTTCCAGACTGTATTGCATAAGACGTTTCTTTGTACTTTGTGTAAAGTTCTATAGCATTGAAATAAATGTTAGAACGATATTCAACTACTGTATAGCCAACTAGGCATGCAATCATATTTGCAGATTAAATTGGTGTTTACATAGTTGTGCATCTGAAATATCTGAAACGTGTTTGTGTGAAGCAGATGTGATTTTAGCGGTGTTGTATTACACTGTATTAGTCCACTGCAGTTATATTATTATACACTGAGATCATGTGACTGACCTTTACAGTTATGGATGAGCAATATTAATGCAACTATGAGAAACTTTATTTTACAGTCTCTTTGTTATGTGAATTTAACTAACCCTAAACCCTGCTCCTATAACACTAACCCTTTTGTAAGTGCTTAATGAATGACTCAGAACCTAAATGTATAATTAAACTGTAACAAGGAGACCTTAAGATAAAGTTTACCCCAGCATATTACGGTTTTCCAGTTGTGCTTTACTTGAACTCAACCTTTGTTGTTGTGATATATCGTTTCTGTCAACTAACAAACAGATTGTATTAGATATAAATATATTATATTATAATTGATTATACGTACAGAATGAACCATGTGATTTAAAATGGTCTGCCAAAATGTAATTGTATATATTATTTTTGTGTGTGCAGTATAAAAGTAACATAATAAATATCATAATGCTGTAACACAAGTGCATTTCTAAATCATTTTGTGCATAGAAAATGAAAAAGATTTTGGTCACACTTTACAACAAGGTTTCATTAGTTAATTTTAGTTGATTTATACTAATGATGAACAGTTCCTGTACTCAGTGGTGTAAAGTAACACATTACAAATACTCAAACTACTGTAATTGAGTAGTTTTTCTCAGAAATTGTAATTTACTAAGTAGATTAAAAAATGTGTACTTGTGCTTTTCCTTGAGTATATTCTTAGTGCTGTATCTGTACTTTTACTCCACTACTTTCCTCCAACTTGCAGTCCCTACTCTATTTTTTCTTGTGGAGATTAGAAAAATCAGTCCTGTGATTCCTGTCTAATCAAATCACACAAAGAAATCCTACCATAATGAACTACTTCAAGACATGGGCGATTTATAATTGCAGTAAACTGTTTGGAAGCATTAAAAGTGTCCAAGTAGATGTCCAAATTATTTACACGCATTGACCCAGAGACTGTTTAGATGTATATCACTGATGAGAAGATCACAGATGTTTACTGTATGATGACCGAAATGGCCTTAAACACACAGCAGGCACAAAACGTCAACATGACATCAGATTGAAGTTGTACCCCAATGTCGTGGGGACATTGCATTTTGTTTGGAAATGAAAATCGGGCTCATGTCAGAACACAATGTCAGGCCAACGATGTCCAATGTCTAACCTAAAAACAACCAAATATCAACGTCATTTGATGTTGTTATTGGACATCAAAATAACATTGTCCGTAGACTCTGGCTAGACATTAAATTTTAGTCACCTGATGCCACAACCTAAATCCAACCTTATATTACCATCTTATGGTGTTGTGTGCCTGCTGGGCAAAACTACATGCACTACAGAACGTAACGTTTACACACATCCACAAATTAGATGTTAATGCATCAGCTTTTTACTGTGTAACACTCACTACTCATGAGTACTTTTAAAAGGGCTCCTTTTCACTCATACTTTGAGTAATATTTACAACAGATACTTTTACTAGTTACACAACCTTTTTGGGCAAGTAATGGTACTTTTACTTACAGCAAGTATGATTTTTCAGTACTCTTTCCACCACTAATTGTACTGCATTTATTAAGCATAGTTCAGCCTTTACTAATGGATTATTAAAATCCCAATTCATGCTGGTTAACATTAATGCATTGTGCTGTGAACTAACAATGGACAACTTCATTTCCATTAACTAACATTAGCACAGATGAATAAATACCGTAATAAATGCATTGTTCATTGTTAATTCGTGTTAGTAAATACAGTATAAAAATACAGATACAGAACTATACTTATAGTAAATACAGGACTAAACTTTACTATGAGATAGTATCACTTACATATATATTTTATATCTAAATATAAATATGCACAGTAGTTCACACATTTAAATTGTCAAAACAAACAATTATTTTGGATGTGATTAATCACGTTTATTTATTTATTTATTTATTTATTTATTTATTTATTTATTTATTTATTTATTGCCCATGACATGTAGCATTATTTATTTATTTATTTATTTATTTATTTATTTATTTATTTATTGCCCATGACATGTAGCATTATTTATTTATTTATTTATTTATTTATTTATTTATTTGTTTATTTATTTATTTATTTATTTATTGCCCATGACATGTAGCATTATTTATTTATTTATTTATTTATTTATTTTTGTTAGCTTCACTCATCCTTGCACAAATAATAATTGCTTCTGGACAAATAATACAAATGTATCATCCTCACAATAATTTAACAGGCTTTTCACATATAGGTGCAAACATACATATCGGCAGCTCTGTCTGCAGTGCTATTATTGACAGCACTCATGATGACGTCTATGTGGCTTCCTGCTATTTCTGTATGTTGATTTGCATGCGATTTGCATATGTATCTGTCGTTTAACCTGCGTCTTATCAGTGTGCAGCCAATCTGAATGTAAGGGGAGAATGCTAATCATCTTATGAATAACTATATGCTAACCGTAATTGTGCATGTTTAATTGGTCGTCATCAGAGGGATACAAGTTTATTAGAAAAAAAATTACGGATGGTAATTGCTTCCTGCAGCAACTAGAGTATTATGCAGGATTGTGATATGCTGTCATCTCCTGTTCAGGGAATTGCTATTTTTCCTGGTATCGTTCAGCACTGCTAACATGATTAATTTGTGACAGTAAACAAGACGTGGAACCCAAATGCAAGTAAAAAAAAGTCTTTATTGCTTGACTAAGCAAAACAGGGAAAATGGTGAGTGGTTGGAAGTGAGGAAACTGTAGTAGTAATTAAAGAGATGGTCCGTCTCGGCAACGCCGGATAAATGTTCATAAACTCATCAACAGAGTAGATCAAACATTCGTCGTAGAGAAACAGCAATGTCTCCGATGAAGTCATCAACAGAGCAGATAAAACACTCAGCGTAGCAGGAAGAGGGCTCATCAGAGACAGCAACAAGGAATCAACCAAACCACTCACCACCAGCGATCTCAACGGGAGGAGCCTGACAAAAACACAAAACACCGTGAACAAACAACGAACTGACAAAGTGAGACAGGAACGCTGATCATTTATAGGCACATAAAATGCGCTACACCTGTAGCGCGCTGATTATCAGCCGAGCGCGCTACGCAACAGTTCCGGTAACAAAAGATCATGTGACCGCTCAGCTGATGACATGAAAACAAACACCCACTGACAGCCACGCGACACCCACACAAACACAGAGAGAAAAAGCACACATACTTAAACACATCATGATACTGAACTGTCACACAACGCAGACACTTCAAATAAGGAGCAGATGGATCCACAACCGTGACATTACCCTCTCCCCTAGGGACGCCTCCTGGCGTCCCCAGACGAGCCTACCTGGCGATTGTAATCATCGATAAGAGAGTGGTCCAGTATGTCCCCGGCCGGAACCCAACTTCTCTCCTCCGGACCGTAACCTTCCCAGTCCACCAAGTACTGAAATCCTCGTCCCCTCCGTCTAGAGTCCAGAATGCGCTTAACCGAATAAGCAGTCTCCCCATCTACGAGACGCGGCGGGGGGGGAACTGGGGTGTGCGGATTAATTGCCGTATGAAAAACGGGCTTTACTTTGGATACATGGAACACGGGATGAATTCTCCTGTACGCTGGAGGTAATTTGAGGCGGATTGCCACAGGACTAATGATTCTAGTGACAATAAAAGGGCCGATAAATTTAGGAGCTAACTTATTACAGACGGTGCGGAGCGGAATGTTCTTAGTAGAAAGCCACACTTTTTGACCGACAACGTAAACGGGAGGCTTAGACCGGTGGCGATCAGCTTTAGCCTTGGTGCGCTTCCCCACTTGGAGGAGGGTCTGTCTGGCCCTATTCCAAGTGCGGCGGCACCTCTGGACAAAGGCGTGAACGGAGGGAACCGCAACTTCGGATTCCAGACTGGGAAAAACTGGTGGCTGGTAACCTAGACTACACTGAAACGGAGAAAGGCCCGTGGCAGACACTGGTAACGAATTATGTGCGTACTCCACCCACGAAAGTTGTTGGCTCCAGGAGGAAGGATTCTGCGAGACCAAACATCGCAATGTACGCTCAAGATCTTGATTGGCTCTCTCAGTCTGGCCGTTACTCTGGGGATGAAAACCAGAAGAAAGACTAACAGTGGCCCCCAATAAACGACAGAATTCTCTCCAGAATTTAGAGACGAACTGTGGGCCCCTGTCAGAGACCACATCCCTCGGGAGGCCATGTATGCGAAAAACATGGTCAATGACAGCGAATACAACTTGCCTTTAGGCGGAGACGTACCTGGCAATAAGTCTATAGCACAGTCATAGGGACGATGAGGAGGTAGAGAAGCAGCCCGGGACTTACTGAACACTCTCTTCAGGTCGTGGTACTCACGAGGCACGTTTGACAGATCCACCTGCTCCTCCTGAAACACAGAACAAGACACAGTGGAACAGGCAGACAATAAACAAGACTTATGACAGCTCTCACTCCAGGAAAAAACTGTGTTGTGACCCCAATTAATGTGAGGCTTGTGTAACACCAACCACGGGTGTCCCAGAATAACAGGATTTTTGACAGTGTTAGTTAGAAAGAAAGTAATAGTCTCAGTGTGGTTTCCTGAAGTAATGAGCCTAATAGGAGCTGTAATATGTGTAATAGTTGGGAGAGGTAGACCGCTAAGTGCGTGAACAGCTATGGGTGAAGAAAGGGGAAAACAGGGAATTTTTAACTTCTTAGCTAAATCAGAGTCAATAAAACTCCCCTCCGCTCCTGAATCAATGAGCGCATGACAGGGATGCAAGTTCGAATTGAATTCCAATTTAATGGGTAGGAAAGTGGAATCGGGAGAGTCCTTCCCTGTCATGACCTCACCCACCAAAAGACTCTTACCAGCGGATGATTTATTGTTCTTGGCCGGACATAAAGCCGCATAATGACCAGCAACCCCGCAGTACATGCACAAGCCCCCCGTTCGACGGCGTCGTCTCTCCTCCGATGAGAGGCGGAACCTTCCCACCTGCATGGGCTCGGGTTCCGGATCGGGGGGTGAAGCCTCTGGAAAACAGGTCTGTGAGCGAAACTCCCTGTGCATACCTCTGCGCTGCAAACGGTTGTCCACCCTTATGGCCAGGCTGATGAGAGCGTCCAACGTCTTAGGTAGCTCCAAAGCGTAAATCTCATCTTGTATATGATCCGCGAGTCCGTGAAAGAACATGTCCCACTGAGCTTCACTGTTCCAACCACACTCAGCCGCCAGGGTGCGGAAATCGATAGAATACTCCGCCACCGTGTGATCTCCCTGACGGAGCTCCGCGAGACGTCTAGATGCCTCTCTTCCTGAAGCGGACGGATCGAAAACGACCTTGAGCTCCTCTGTAAAGGACTTGAAAGTTTGACAGCAGGGCAGTTTCTTCTCCCACGCCGTGGTTCCCCATAAAGCCGCCTTGCCAGTCAAAAGGTTGATTAAAA